CACACACACACACACACACACACTCAGGGGAATCGAACTCAGGTCTTCTACGTGCAACAACGAAGTGCCTTACCGCTACACCACGGACGCCAGTTCAGATAATCTTCCAGCGCTTTTAAGAGGAACCATTAATTCTCGTTCTGTCGCAGACAAACACTCTTTTAGCATGACATGGTCACCCTCACCATTGCCTTTCTCATCCCGCACCAGGTTATAGGCCATGAACACACACTTTCCACTTTTCCCTGTCCTGGACTAGTCGCTTGATTTCTCTCCATGTCTTCCCACTTTTCAGTTCATACATCCATTTCCGAGACTCTTCTCCAGGTACCATGTGGTCCTCCCCTTTATCTTTTACCTAGTGGGTTCCAATCCAACACTTTTCTTGTTGTGCAGCTGTTTGACTTCATGAGAGTCGCACGACATGGTACTTTAAAGAAACACTCTTTGCATAGAAATCAGAGGTCCTTGATTGTCGATCTCAGTTTCAGTTGTTACGTTGTAACACCAGGGCTGTAAATAGTTATAAGAACCAACCTACGGGGTATCATGAAACTGAACTCCCCACCTTTTTTTTCTTCACCCGTGTAGATCTATACTACAGTCGAGATTTTTCACTGTTGAGATTTCACACGTTTCGAGCGGATGGTTGGAGGGAGCCACTGGTAGACCGTAGGTCCTACTTTTTTACTTACCCTCTGTTGCTTCTTTCTGTCTGTCTTTTGTTTTTTCCCAACAACCAGGACCATTATTGTCAGGTGTCGATATGCTTCTCTTTACTCAAACAAACAAACAAAATTGCATCTTCATAAGAAGAGTATTGTGTGTATATGTATGTTTGAGTGTGTGCACGCGCGTCTGTGAGTAGGAATGTATGTGTATGTATGTATGTTTGTGTGTGTGTGTTTGTGTGTTTGTGTGTGCGTCTGTGTATGTGTTTATTTATGTGTGTGTGCGTTTGTGTATTTGTGTGTTTGTTTGTTGTGCGTGTTTGTTTGTTGTGTGTGTTGTGTGTGTGTGTGTGTGTTTGTTTGTTGTGTGTGTTGTGTGTGTGTGTGTGTGTGTGTGTGTGTGTGTTGTTGTGTGTGTGTGGGTGTTGTTGTGTGTTTTATTGCAGAGTTTCCTTCTCCATGTCATTCTATCTGATACAGGATCTGTGATGTTGAGGACAGACTGAGAAAGAAACTAATCTCTCTCCACACTTCACAGCGCCCCCTTCGCGCCAACTGTGGGTATTACCGTGGCATGTGTGCGTCCCCTACTCTCTCTCTCTCTCTCTCTCTCTCTCTCTCTCTCG